TTTCACTTGACTAATTACTGGGTGGGGGGGTGCCCATTTCAGCGATCGATATAGATATATAGACCTGCATGAACATTGCACGTTAATCTGAAGGCACTACCAGCCTCCTAACGTGACGAAATACTGCAGGGTTCATGGAAATGTTTTTTCATGCTGTATGAGGGTTTATCCCCAATATTATGTTGGGTGTGAAATTGGTCTCTGACATTAAGGGAGGAACATAGACTGAGGGTGTTTGAGTACAGGGTGTTGAGGAGAATATTTGGACCGAAGAGAGATGAAGTGACAGGAGGTTGGAGAAACTGCATAATGAGGAGCTTCATAACTTGTACTCTTCTCCAAGTATAATTAGAATGATCAGGTCAAGGAGGTTGAGACGGGCAAGGCATGTAGTATGAATTGGGCAGAAGAGGAATGCATATAGGATATTGGTGGGAAAGCCAGAAGGAAGGAGACTACAGGGAAGACCAAGGCGCAGGTGGGTGGACAATATTAGAATAAATCTTAGAGAAATAGGATGGGATGGTATGGATTGGATAGATCTGGCTCAGGATAGAGACCAGTGGAGGGCTCTTGTGAACACGGTAATGAACCTTCGGGTTCCATAAAATGCTGGGAAATTCTTGAGTACCTGCAGAATTGGCAGCTCTTCCATAAGGGCTCAGCTCCATGAGTAAGTAAGTAGTTAGTTAGTTAGTTAGTTATTGGAGATGGTGGGTTTCCCCATGCACTGAGACCTGTATTGGTCCATTGTGCTTCCGTCTATGATTTCTACCAGTCTCTATATCCTACCGGTACTGGTGCTTACCATCAGTCCCGCCCAGCCAGCGAGACCGGCTCTACTAGCTGAGAGGTATCTATAATGCTTCCCCCATCTACCAGAGGTATTAGAGACTGCTGTTGGGCGGGAAACGTCCGTAATTTGGCTCAGTGACCTCCTTTGGAGATATGAGGTTCTTTTACGTGCCGTAAAGCTACGACACGGGACCCACGGCTTAAAGTCCCTCCCGGAGGACTTGTTCCCTGAATTTTTCCGCCCTTAAAAATTCGACGACCTCCGCCGGGTATTTGAACCCGCGTACTACGAGTCATGAGGTGGGAACGTTACCTCTAGACTACGGAGGCCGCTTGAGTAAGTAAGTATTATGTAAATATATAAGTAAATAAAGCGTTTTTTTATGAGTTCATATTACATATTTACGCATCGCTTCGTCGTATAATTTTCCATGCTAACGTGAATTTAATTCAGTGTTTTAAGTAACTACTTTATAATTAACATATTCTACATCATTTTACTTACGAAGCATGCATTGTTTGATTATACATATTAATTTCTGTATTTTTTTCTCAACTTAGAACCCGTAAGGTGGATATTACATTGGAAATTTACTGAAGCTGAATTGATTAAGGTTACTTCACACACAATTCATGTCTTTAAATTTAGTGTACTGTAACGTGTGCAAATTTGTAGCTCAATAATTCGAATTAAGACACTCGTAATACAGATCTAATTTCGATTTGAATTTGTGCTTTCCTGAAGATGGCCTATCAGTATTAATTCTTACATTTTCTTTTCTTTTTGCTAGTGGGGTGAGACTAAGTCCCTTGTACTGCGGTCACGTCTGGCCCATTGTACCAGCCCCAGATGATAGGTGAGGGTGATTGTGGTGCAATTGGTGGAATGAAGATTGGCAGGGGAAACCGAAGTACTCGGAGAAAACTTTGTCCAACACAAATCCCACTTGACCAGACCCGAGATCGAACACGGGCCTCCGCGGTGGGAAGCCAGCGACTAACCGCTTGAGGTATGGCGCGGCCTACTTCTTACCTCCATTTCAAGATATCCTGGCCTCTCACAGGATATCTTAGTGATATGGGCAACGTAATAATTTCGTCTATATCAGCGGTACTGCATCTTCTATTCCACCGGAAATTTGGACAAAAATATCGTAGTCACAAAGCAGTAAAATTATGCTTCTTTCCTCATGGAATTGTGATCTTAATATTGCGTAGGTCTACACTTCGGTATCATATTGTCGCGTGGTAGTGACTGGACCCGAGTTTTGGAATGACAGTTGAATTTATTGAACCCTTACAACTTGTTCCTACAAAGAATTATATGTATAACACTACCAATAACCTTCACAATTAACAAATCACTATAGTACACGCTGTATCAGTCTCTTATAGACTTAACTAGTCGTTGTCTGGTTACGGTTTCCAACAGTGGAGATTTTTATACTCTCGTATTTACGTCGTTGCTGGTTGGCTACAATCTTACAATTAACTCACTGCTGCAAATAATTCATGACGGTAGCCCGCCAAGTTACCGCCATTCGGTTCGTCTTGGCGTCAGGCCCCTCGAGGCTCACGACCAGAGCTTTTTTTCGCAATTTAACCCTTGTGGCCTTAGTCCTTATGTAACGTCCTACTCACGGCTTCTCAAGAAGAGCTGAGTTCCATGAAGTTAGTTAAATGGGATAGCTAACTAACTACCCAACTATTAACTAATTCCATGAAGCAGCACTCTTCTTGAAAAGCGAACAGTGTTCCAGATAGCTAAGAAATTCCAAGAACTTTATGGATTCGAGAAGATTTATTACCGTGATCACAAGAACTACCAGTGGTATTTATCGTGAGCCAGATCAATCCAGTCGACAAACTTATATATATATTTTTTTTAGATATGGTCTCTATATGTTATATTTTAGCGTCCTGTTATACTGATTCATGTCCATGGATTATGCTGACCGTCTTACAGTGTATACACTTTTTCACCTTATTCTTCACTTCCACACTTCATGCTTCAGCACTAATGTGCCATGCAGTACAATAGTTTAACGTGCATAAAGACACCTGAAGATGGCACATTAGTGCTGAAACATGTAGTGTGGAAGTGAAGAATAAGGTGAAAAAGTGTTTACACTGTAACACGGTTAGCATAAACCATGGATATGTTCTCTATATTCTTGTTCAATCTATTTTCATATCCTCTCGATAGTCGTCTCCATTGATGTCGTCCCACCAAAATCCTGCAGGCACGTTTCTTCTAGACATGCATGCTACATGTTCTGTCCAGTTCATTACACTTGATTCGAATTCTAGCCTCTAAGAGAATACGCAACTATCTGAAGGTTACCGTCTCCCGGAAAATAAATACACCAATCTCCTGCCTACATATTCAGAGTAAAACAAATTTATTCTGAGAATGGAAGTAACCGGTACGTTTTAAAGGCTAGTAAACATCTACCAAACATCACGGAGTATTATCCTTGGTATTAGATGGAGATATATGGTCAGCTTCACGCCGAGGCCGCTTTGCCCTCTGAGAAACAACTCCCGGTACCCAGTTTATGATGCCGGGTGACCCAGACAAGGTATGGACGTTGTTGAGAAGAGAAAAAAAGTTGTGTCCTTGGAGAGAAACGAACCATGATACCTCGGTCATGAATGCGGGCAAGAGAAAAACGGAAATCTGTATTCCATCACAGAATGATTATAGATTTAGTTCCTACCTCATAAAAACTTACTGCTTCTCCATTACAAAGACGAACCTGCTAATTTTTTGTAAGAAATAAATGCTCTTTGCTGCTAAAATCATAAGAAATTTACCCTGTGAGAAAAAAAGAATGGTTCATTTAAACTTTAAAGCAGATGATACATACAGTAACCACTGATCTTTAAAAAGTGAAGTCAAAGAATGGGATGAATTTTAATGTGAGGTTACCTTGTTGTAACAAAAAATGGATTTTGGTGCCCCGCCCTATAATAGTGACATAAAATATAATCCAGAAATTTAAAAAATCGCCCAGTTACTATATGAACTTGCCTTAATGACGTAATCCAACAAAGTTGATGATAATGTTGATAAGTACAATTTGTCCCTGTGCTTAACTAATTAAGCACTCCATTAAGACGTATGGAGGAGTGGATATATAGATCCCCTTTTTCTTAATCTTGGCACTAGTTGGAAGTGAGTGTGGTCAGGTTGACGCCCCGGCCGCTTTACTCCCGGAACCCATTGGATAGGAGGCTGGGTGGGCCCCAGAGCCGGTCTGGACAATTAGAGAGGTGAAAATTCTTGACCCTACTGGGAGCGAACCCCTAGATCGTCCAGCCCTTAGACACTCGCTATACCGACTACGCTAACCCGGTCCTTTATGTTGATAATTAATTAACATTATTGATATCTGCGAAGAATTGCGGACTGATTTCTTGAATGCACGCATGCACTCCCTTCTATAACTGCAGCACGGCCCGGATATATGTCATATGTTAATTGTCCTCTGTGATTCCGCTTGCTGTCACGGGAATTTGTTCCTTAATATTCGTTCCCGCGGAAACAGGTACTAGAGAGCCGTTGCCTAACAAATTAACTTCCGTTTCTGATGCCATTCCGGCTTTTAGTCAGTGTTTACCGAGCCGTAGCCTAGCAAAGGATTATTCAATTACAATATTANGAGCATAAAGTTTCATTCCTTCTTCAGGAACAGAGACATTACCTGTTCCACCTCGTCAGCGCAGTTCACTGAAGAAGAGAAGCCACACTTTTCTAAGCCCAGGGTCACATACTGCCATTCACCTATTGTGGAGTACGCGCAGAAATTTACATATGATAGGATTTGTTGTTTACAAATACCGTACCCATTTTGACATTTATCATTTGTAAGTTATTTGTTGTAGGAATAAAGCAACCGAGAATCACATTCTGTTACGAGTGCTTTCCCCACTCTTTTATGTCCCATGAAACACCTGTATAATACCCCTCAGAAACTCCTAGCCTCCAAATTAAGTGAGACCAATTATTAAACAGAGAAGGATGTGAAGTAGCCATGCTTTTTCCAACCCTCTCCTCTGTCCTCCCACCTCCTATATCTTTGTAAGCTACTCCGCAAAGCCTGCCTATCCGCTGGGCTTTAAGCAGAATGACCCAACCCAAGCCCAAGCCCATAGCCCCCACCAAGTTGAGTTTGCGCGCTCAGTGTGTCTGCTCTTACACATCTACCTGTTCAGTGTGTGGGTAAGCTTACACTGTGCTGTTCCCAGCGCTCTGCGCAAGCCAGCTAATTGGAAGAAGGCCTGCAATGTCATTCACTGACGCAGCGTGGGTCTCGCTCCGGGACTCCTGTGATAGTGGACGTTTGGTGCAAGTGATTTGACAACCTGCTTTCAAACTACAGCTCTTACGAACTAATTACCCTAGCAAGGAAGGTGGAAAACGGTATATTTAATTGTAATATCGCTCTTAAAAAAAGTGATATTTAAAAACAGACGATTAATGTTGTAAAATATAACGAAATGGAAATATTGTGTATAACAAGTTATTGTTGTGAAATATCTACCGGTGTACAGACACCTGATGCAGAATCACCGTGTGTTCTTTAACATATCGTATAAAGTTCAATAAATATCATAATGATAACGTCAAGATAATTATGGACGACAGGCGTTCGTACAAATAAACATAATCTTCAGTTGTGTGTCAACGAACTTTAAACAAAAACAGAGATTTCAATGGTGCGTATATATTTATTTTCACGTTAATTGAAGTATAGTTCAATTCGGTTTATGGACATGTATCCGAAATAGATTAGTCTTAACAGGAACTTGGAAATTGGTGGATAACTCAGAAAATGAAGTCATGGGACACAGAACATGACCCATAACGTGAAATCATTAAGAATTAATAAGATGTTGCAAAATAATACGAAGACACGAAGACAAATTCGTTGTTTTAGCAGAAAAAAAAAGGGGATTCAATGATTGTTTTGAGTTGCAATTGCCTAAGACACTACATGTAATAATTATAAGACATTTAATTGCTTCAATATATATATATATATCGTGTTTAAGTTTCAGTATTTTCCGAGTTTATTTTAATATAAAAACAAAATTAATGTCATCGAAAACAAATAAACTGTTTTGAATTCGCAAGTTCGTGAGAAGAAAACGCTGATAGTGGTTGTTATTTCCCCTCGGATGCGCTGGAGACTAATATCATGTTAATATCCACAAGTAACCTTCCCAGCTCTGGTGTCGGTCATCTTAACTGCGATTACCCGAGTTCTGTGTGCTGCGGGCTGAGGTCAGGTGTTGGCCACCCTCTGTGGGGAAAGATGGACTTACCGACAGGAAGTCTGCTTACCAGCAGCAGCGGCAACAGCAACACCAGCGGGGTTACCAACAACGTGTTACCGACCCTGCCGTGTACAGGTATGTCCTCAGCGACGCACTAACACACCAGCGTATCGTTACACTAATAACACTATAAAGTCAATAGGCTTCTTTTTATTCTTGCGGTAGGGTGAGATAAGGGCTATTTGGCCCTCAGTTAGCGGATTCACAATTGATACGGAAACACGGTATATCCGCTGAGAACACCTGCCTCGGTGCCACGATATGGACTACAACGGGACTGAACCCGAGCCTCCGAGGTTAGAAGCAGGCGACTAACCGCATGATCTAGGGTAAGGATAGGCCGCGCCATAGCTCAAGCGGTTAGTCGCTGACTTCCACAGCTGCGGCCCAGGTTCAAACCCGGGTCTGGTCAAGTGGGATTTGCGGTGGACAAATTGGCGCTGGGGCAGGTTTTCTTCGAGTACTTAGCTTTCCCCTGCCAATCTTCATTCCACCAAATTCTCCATCATCATAATCACCCGGGGCAGGTACAATAGGCCAATCAGTGGTCGCCGTGCCGAGTGGACCCAACTGGATTTCCCCCATTATGCGAATTAAAAAAAAAATTAGGGTAAGTCTCAAGGGGTGATGCAGGAAAAGTACCGAACTTACAGTCGGGGGGGGGGTTACACTGCAGGATTTGGCAAGTCCGATAGTAGAGATGACAGACGTCTATCTCCTCCCGCTCGGATACTGAAACTTTTATCTGTTTACGTGTCTCGCAATAGGGCCTATTGCTACCGGGTACTTCACTGGTCTAGCATTTAGCCTGCCAGTCACAGTGGCGGCTTATGAATTGTCTTCGCCCCCCGAACATTAGGATCGTGGGTTCGAATCCCACTCGATGCATGCATATCTGAGTGTAAGTAGCGGCCTTGCGACTGGCTGATCCCCGTCCTTGGAGTCCTACCGGCTGTGTAAAAGATCAAGAAACTGAAAATCGGCCAAGGCCCAACAAAGGGCTGTAGGACCCTAGATAGATAGCATTTAGTCGGGTAGCAAGTAGGAGGAAACCAGAAAACGCCCTCCTAACCAACGATTCGTAATTTCGGCATCTCAAGATAATACAGCACCAAATGACTGAGTGACACGAAATAGCAAACTGGGAGGGATCAGGAAGGAAACGGTCTAGGCATAATTCGAGGTATAATCCCGGAATTAAATTGGAGGAACTGAGGAGAACCAAGAATAGAATTCAGGATAATAGGTCTCCTGGTCGAGATTCGAACCTGTCCCCTCTGAATTACAATTCAGATGCATTATCACTTGAGCTAACTGGATCAATAATATCGTATCGACTATAGAGATTATACCATCGGATTATATGAGAAGATATTGAAATATGCTAAGAGAATAGAATGCGAAAATAATATAATTAGTCTACTTAAATAGACCGAGGTCTATCGTGCCAATATTTACAGAAAGTATTGAGAAAATCCTCCTCAAATCTGTCAGAATTGCTTGTGTTTCCGACGAGACTCGAACTGGATACTCACATAACAAAATTAGCCAGACTGTCTCCGGTTTGGGATCTGATCTGAACACAAGTTTCACATTAGGACGAGGGAACTTTTGGGTAGATTTGGGTACTGGAAGAGGCTAATATGACGAGAAATTGGGACGTTCTGATCACGTCTGTAAAGTAAAAAAGTAAAGCTAGCCCTGTAACAGGCCGTGAAGGACCTTAGGGTTGTGAGACGTTAAGGCTCCCACATTTTCTAGACAACCGGCTCAAAGATGGCGGTAAGGTTGTCAGCCTTAGGCGCCGGCCGAGTTTTACTCCCAGGAAAATTATTTAATTAACTCCTGGTACTCATTTCTGTTAGGGGCTGAGTCGACCCCAGGGCCATAGTGCGGCCAGAAGGATTAGATCAATTGAAAAGATCCAATGACCTCATCGGGACTTGAACACGCGACCTTCCGGTTTGTAGCATAGTGCCTCAACCAGCAACGCTACCGCGTGCCTGTATCATACTTATACAACGGGTCTACAAGCTGTCAGTTCTGAGCCCTCTGTAAGGCTTCCTGTTTCTGTTTGCTAGTTGCGTCAATTGGACACACGTACTCAGGGGTCCTTGCCGAACCCAGCTCCCTCACTTCTTGCTACAGTCAATGCAGCATGTCCCCACTTCGCACACTCGTTCTAAGTTCCTTGATTTATACGGCAAAATCTGTTTTCAATATTCTTTTATAACCGAATATTCTGTCATCGTTAACTGCATTTTAAAGAAAAGGTTTTGGTTGCTTTCTAACGGACTTATCTTCATTTTGGTGAGATTTGGTGTTCCAACGGCGGTGATAATGGAGATTACTATAGGCTAGGGTATGATGCCGTATAGTTTGGTAGTTCGTTACCGATGTTCCGAAGGAGAGTAGCATCTTCATCATCAGTGTAAGAAAGACGAAAATAACGAACATGCTACAAGTATTGGATTCAGTGTATCGTGTCTATTCTGAGAGTGCTGATAATATTCTGATAATGGATATGTGCAGTGTCGAATATTATTTACAGGAGACTTCGTGCGCGGTATTCGTGGGAGATGGCACGTTGGCCTCGAAGCGTCGTTCGACAACGTTTACTTCTGTATAAGAATACTGAAGAATTTTGGGGAAGTTTGGAGTACGATAGCTTGTATAAAATTATTATATTTCGTGCTAAGTTATCAGTGGGTGTGAGGCCGCGCCATAGCTCAAGCGGTTAGTCGCTGGCTTCCCACCGCGGCGGCCCTAGTTCGCTCCCGGTATCTGGTCAGTGGGATTTATGGTGGACACAGTGGCGCTGGGGCAAGTTTTCTCCGAGTCCTTCGGTTTCCCCTGCCAGTCTTCATTCCACCAATTGCTCCACAATCACCCTAACCTATCATCTGGGGCTGGTACAATAGGCCAGAAGTGGCCGCAGTACAAGGGACTTAGTGCCACCCCAGTATCAGTAAAAATATCAGTGAATGTTGCACAGTTATTAAGTATAAAGAGTTCAATAAGGATCAGGCTTGAAAACGGGTCATAATTACAATGATAAAATTAAATTTCTTTGCAGTTTTGTATTATTTATACATTTTCATGCATATATTCTCCTGATGAAGGTCCTTTATTGGCCGAAACATGTAGTGATGTCTACAGTTTTTTAATAGTGTACATTAGTAATTCCATTATTTTTCAATTAACGTTAGACGTGCTGTATGTTCAGGAATTGTGGCGGTATTACAGCTAAATACTATATTCACCAAACACACGGGGTTTGCTGACATACGGTATTTGCATATTACAAGCATGGAAATATGCCGACAATAAAACTTAATTATTTCTTACAATTTCTTTGTTAAAACCGTCACAACATAACGATATTAAGGTCAGTGCCTAGTTTGGCTCTGCTACATGTTTCGGCTATTAGAAGCCATCATCAGGCAAATACATGGCTAACATATATACACCACTGAACTGCAGTACTAATAAAATTGGATACAATAATATTAATTATATTAAAATACTTGGCGTAATAATACAATAAATTAGATTATATAAAACGAAAGTTATATTACAAAACAAGAATAAAATTCTTCAAATGATGCTTTGTATCATGGAGTCAGTCGTTGGTTTATTTGATTTTGTTGCGTTCCAACGGACAAATTAGAGTATTCTATATTTTGTGTATATATAATGAACTCTTTGGAGGCTCGTGATGTAGATGTAGTAATATTAATGTTAATTATTTAGTCGGTGCCTCATCTTACAAAGTAGTCTCCGTTCTGTAGGGAATGTAAACAACGACTCAAAACGGAAAAAAAAAATCTTGTTTAAAATTTTTATACTCAGTAAATTAAGCTGTATCCTTTACAGCTTTGATACAAAATTAATATTCACATTCTCTTCTTCTGACATATTAGTTCTCTAAAAAGAAAATAATCATAATCTAGAGACCTTCACGTGAAACCTGGAAAGCTAAGCCATAAATCCTAAACGGCGAAAAGAAAATAATTTAATAAACCAGCATTAGCGTATAGGTAATCCACTGTGACAAAAATCGGTACTATGAATGTAAATAGTTCTAACAGAAGCCTATTACTGAAACATTCCGTACTTCTGAACGCTATGCGCTGTAGACACAACGCACAGGCTTATACGACTCCATAGAGAGACAACATAAAACAGAGCTATGAAGTCCTACATTAAGTATTTTTTGTTATACTTATTCTTATCAGGGCTAGCTTCCGGATAGGACGGCGTCTCGGCGCTTTCTTGAGTGCCCGGACTCTGTCCTTGTGTTTCTTCTGAAGACAATGATGAAACATGTGGAGTGCTTGTAATTCGTATGAGGTTCATGAAGCTGACAGTTGAGACTGTCTGCTGGCTAGTGACAGAACCTGAAGATGGAAGCAGATTGCTACCAGGCTATACGGTTTCCCCATTCTGAAGCAGAGGCTTCGATTGCTTTAAGTATAGACAGTGTGCTAAGGCGCTTGTCTTCCAGTTCTGCCTTATAAAGTGCAAGCCTATCATTAAGTAAGAAGAGAACAGCTCCTCATGATGATTCATGACTCTTTATTTCGAGCTGAAACTTCGTGCCTTACCGCAGTGGAAGTTTTTAGGACTGACACCGTGTTCATATCATCGGGTTGGTTAGGTAAATGTGGCAGCTGGTGATGCCAGCTTATAAGCTTATAGCAGAGGCCTACACGCCTTCATCGGTCCTTCAGTGCTTAATGGAATGACCATAGGATTTAACAATGCGTAGGAAACAGCAATTACCAATAGAAATTATAGGGCATATTCACAATGAAAGTAAGAACACATTAGGTTCAAGACGGGTTCGCTCCCAGTCGGTATAGAACCTATATTTACCCATCTCCTGAATAAAAGAATTAAAGAATAAAATATAGAGGTTCGTCCGTTAGGTTATAACATCGTCAGTGCATGTAGCACGAATGGGGGAGAAGAGAAATGCATATATGTTATTGGTGGGAAAGCCAGAAGGAAAGAGATCAGTAGGAAGAGCAAATTGAAAGTGGGTGGACAATATTAAAAATGATAAATGATAC